TTTTAAGAGTTTTAGTCAAATGCTTTATAATATAGTATAGATATAGTGAGAGAGAGAAAAACAAAGTCGTCAATGACAAGTCATTATGGCATGATTAGCAAAAGACATGGGATGGGAAGGGAAACGACCCAATTTCTCCAAGTATTTTGGATCTTGAGACATTCCAACTCCACAAACCATGCTCAATCTTCTCCTTGAGATTTCTTCTTGTTTTTCCCTCTCGTCAACTCTACTCCCATGAACCAACAATGGCCATCGGAAAACCTCGTGCTAACAAGAGATCATCCGGCGGTGGTTCGTGTTCATCCACCGTCACAACCATCGTGCTTGTGTCAGTCTGTGCTTTAGGTGTCTGGATACTAACCTCTAACTCCACCGTTTCACCGCAAAAAACCGCCAATCGGATCAATAACGACTCCTCGTTTGATTCCGGACGACATTCCGTAAAGCGGCATCGTAAAGTCCCCTTTGATGCTATGATTGCTCCTCGAGAAAAACTTGTTGATCTACCGATTAATACTAGCGATTCTGAAGACACACACTATGGTTTCCCTACAGATGTCGTCGAGCATGATGATGGATTGAAAGCAGGTAATGATCCGGCTACGATTCGAGAAACGAGTCGGGATGATAAGGTGGAGAAGGATGAAAATTCAGGTGGTAGTGGGTTAACTGAAACCGAAGCTGAAATAAAGCCCGAAAGCACGAGTGATGTCGATGATGATGCCGAGAGTTTGAACGACAGTGATGTCGGGAAACAAGAGGCTGAGGAACACCAAGAAGAGGCGAGAGAAGAACAAGAAATGGAAATATCGACTTCGGTAATCGAAGACGAGCAGCACGGATCAGAAGAGGAAGTGCAGAAAACGCAAAAGATTCAAGACTCGGAGGATAATACAGATTATCAACATTCGGAAGAAACCACGGAAAACGAATACGACCAACAAAGTGATACAGAGGATAAACAAACAGAATCCGGTGGCGAAGATGACATACAGGAATTGGAAGACAACCAAGAACAAGAAATCACAGATGAAGAACAAGAAAAAAGAATGGAGAATCAACAAGAAGAAGAAGAAGACGAGGAAGAAAAAGAAGCAACTCCACGTGAAGATGATGGACCGATAGAATCTCACTCAATAGCGGCCGAAACACGAGCGCAAGTCGAAAGTCGAGAAGCACGAGACATTAGAAAGAAAATGGAACAAGCTAAGATATCGATACAATCCACAATAGCCAACACAACTACACCTAAGAAACCTTCTAAAACAGTGAATTCAACCATGGTTAAAAAGCATTCTTCCGGGGTACCAAATGAGTCCGAGAACCAAACGCAAGTCGATATTAAGGTGACAGCTGATGTAGATATGTACGGATACAAATGGGAGTTATGCAATGTGAGCACTGGAACAGATTACATACCTTGTTTGGATAACGAGATAGCAATCAGAAATTTGCATCATTGGAGTCCCTACGAGCACCAGGAGAGACATTGCCCGAAGGAGGCTCCGATGTGCCTTGTTCCTCTTCCAAAGGGTTATAAGACACCTATTCCATGGCCTGAAAGTAGAGATAAAGTATTAATACTCTTATTTAGAGAATTTTTCTTGGTGATTCATTATGGGTGTGTTTGGTATGCAGGACAAGACAGTACAAAAACTCATTGTCTCATGTTTGGCGCGACATTAGACCGGGATAGGGGACAAGAAAACAATATTTTCTTCTGTCCCACCAAATTAACTGGAACAAAAATAAGGAGACAATACAAGATTGGTAAATTACTAAACTACCCATGTCAAATTAGAACTCTAAACCTTCTGGAATTCTTTCACCCGCCTACCTCACTCTTGCATGTCCAGTCTCATATGTTACCAAACACACCCTATAAGTTCTACTATATGCACAAATAATCAAAAATATTTAACGAATTTTAGGATGTAAATGGCAGATATGGTTCCATAATGTGCCAGAAAAGACCTTATTCGATGGAAAGGGGAGCCAGAACTGGGTGAAGGTGGCAGGGGAATTCGTCACTTTCCCTAGAGGTGGAGCTCAGTTTATGCATGGTGCTCTCCATTATATCGACTTTCTACAAGAGGTAAAGAACAAACTTATAGTCCTAAAAGATTGTTTTATGAGATTTAAGTTTACAGGACCAAACAATTGTTCATCCTATATAAAGATGTTCTACAACAGGATGTTAGATCGTATTTGGGTATCCTAACAAGTTTTTAGGAAACTTGTGATAAAGTATCATGTTAGCTTTTTTATAGGACAAGTTTGAAAATGTCCTATGAATACATCCTTTTCAGGACATCTTTTCAAATAATGTTATATAAAAAAACTAATAACACGAGTTTTCAAAATTGTCCTAAAAACTTGCTAGGACCCCAAAAGGATCCTATCAACTTATATTAACACCGTTACATAGAACGCACATTTGCTAGGCGCTATAATAAGTCCTATAATGTGGTCTATTAGGACATTTATCCATATTTGGCATCCTATAAAGCCGAATTTTTATACAGCTTGAATATCATTTCAGTCAATTAACTTTCTAAGGACTGCAGGCAGTACCTGAGATTGCATGGGGGAAGCACACTAGGGTAGTTCTGGATATAGGGTGTGGTGTGGCTAGTTTTGGAGGTTACCTCTTCGATAGAGATGTCTTAACAATGTCGTTCGCCCCCAAAGATGAACATGAAGCTCAAACCCAATTCGCTCTGGAAAGAGGGATACCAGCAGTTTCCGCTGTCATGGGCACTCAGCGCCTTCCATTTCCAAGCAGAGTTTTTGATCTAGTACATTGTGTTCGTTGTAAAGTACCTTGGCACAAAGAAGGTTCCTCAAATCATCTCTTTGAGTATGCATTACCTAGAAACATGGTTGTTACAATTTTCAGGACATTTGAAACTGGAGCTATGGACCATAAATGAGAATTTTATTCGCATCAAAACCTTCTAAAAGGTTTTTAGGCATTCTTGTCGCTACAACAAAAATGCCCAATAAACTGCTTTACAGGACTTAAGTTTATAGGATCAAACAATAAAACGTCGTATCTAAGAGTGTCGCAATAACTTTATAGGACGTTTTTGGTCGTCTTAACAAGTTTTTAGGACATTTTTAAAGTAAACCGTTGCATCAGCTATTTTATAGAACACTATTTGAAAAAGTGTCCTATAAAAATATGTGTTTATAGAAAAGGGTCCTATAAAATAGCGAATATGGCACTTTATTTTGAAAATATCCTAAAAGACTTGTTAAGACACCCAAAAGCGTCCAATAAACTCATTACAACACTTTTAGATAGGACACTTTAGTTTTTGGTCCAATAAACATAAGACCTATAAAGCGATCTATTAGGGCAATTAGACATTGCTATAATTCAAAAAACCCATTTTGTTGTACTGCGTATATGGCAGTGGCCTTCTCAAACCTATCACAAGGTCATGGATTTAAAAGAAACTTGTCAGAAGGTCATTTAACCAAAGGACCTTAACTGAAACTGTGTTATTGTCTATGTTAAGGTGGCATCCTTCTTTTGGAGCTTAACCGTGTGCTCCGCCCAGGAGGTTACTTTGTTTGGTCAGCACCACCTGTTTATCGAACACTTGAAGAGGATGTCCAGATATGGAAAGGTATCATTAGAAATTTTCATACCAACTCCATACATAATGATTTGTTGAAATAACTTCCGTAAAAATATTGTACACTTAGAGATGTCTGCTCTAACGGTGGCAATGTGTTGGGAGCTTGTCACCATCAAGAAAGACAAATTGAATGTAATAGGAGTCGCAGTCTACCGTAAACCAGATTTGAATGAATGCTACAATGAAAGAAAGAAACAACAACCTCCCATATGTAGACCAGATGATGATCCCGATGCTGCTTGGTAAGTACAAGTTTTCTTAACCAAGCGCTCTAGTCTTTGTTTTAAAGTGACTCGACTGGAATTTGAAGTCATACTTTGATAATATACCAAAATCAGCTTTACAAGACACCGAATATGTTTGAATGTCCTAATAAACTGCTATTTAGGACCACACAGTTGTTCGTCTCATGTAAAAGTGGACAATAAGTTGATAGAACGCTTTCAGCGGTCCTAACAAGTTTTTTAGTTCACTTTTTTATGACACTTTCGAAAAAGTGCCTTATGAACGCATCTTTTTTATAAGACATTTGTTTTCACAGAACATTTTTTTCAAATAATGTCATAAAAAGACTAATAGCACGTTTTATTTCTAAAGTGTCATACAAACTTGTTAGGACACCCAAAGCGGCCTATCAACTTATTGAACCTTTCACATAATTGTTTGTCCTATAAACTCAAGTCTTATAAAGCAGTCTATTAGGACATTTAGACATATCTGGCATCCTACAAAGCCGATTTTGTTGTAATGTCTTTTTTTCAACAACAGATGGAGTAATAGGACACTTTGATTTTTATGATGTTTGGCAGGTATGTGCCTCTACAGGCATGTATGCATAAGATGCCAATGATGGACACAGAAAGAGGTTCACATTGGCCTGAGGAATGGCCAGAACGAGTTCAAAAACCTCCGTACTGGTTAAATAAATCTCAAATAGGAATTTACGGAAAAGCAGCTCCAAACGACTTTAACGCAGATTATGAACATTGGAAATCGGTGGTTAGCAAATCATACATGAGTGATCTAGGGATTAACTGGTCAAATATACGAAATGTTATGGACATGAGAGCTGTTTATGGTGGGTAAGTGTTAAACCAACCAATCTTCATCATAACTGATCTTCCTCTTATCGACTAATCCCCTTAGCAGAATCTAAGTTTTGTGTTAAAACCTATGTTACAGGTTTGCTGCAGCACTTAAGGACCTGAAATTATGGGTACTAAATGTGGTGAACATGGATTCTCCTGATACACTACCAATAATATTTGAGAGAGGTCTTTTTGGGATTTACCATGATTGGTGCGAGTCTTTTAGCACATATCCTCGGACTTACGATCTTCTCCATGCAGATCATTTGTTCTCCAATTTGAAAAATAGGTGATTTTAGATACCAAACACTACAACAAAATTGGGTTTATAAGACTTGAGTTTATAGGATCAAGCATATGTTATAAATGTTACATTAAGTTTAATGGATGTTTTGGTGCGTCTTAATAAGTTTTTAGGACACTTTTGGAAATCGTAGCTTTTTATGGGATTTTTTGGAGAAGTATCCAACGAACACATCTTTTTCTAGAACATTAGTTTTTACAAGACACTTTTTCGAATAATGCTTTGTCTAAAAAACTTGTTAAGATGCTCAAAAGCATCTTATAAACTTATTGTTCACATAGGGCATACAATTGTTTGGTCCTGTGAACTTAAGTGCTATAAAGCAATCTATTAGGAAACTTATATATTTTTGTAGTAAACTGTACATACATTTACACATAGCTGCTAAGTTAATTGATGAGTATATGAGCTTCTGTATGGTTTATGCAGGTGCAAGATTGCACCTGTAGTGGCAGAGATTGACAGAATTTTGAGACCGGGAGGGAACTTGATCGCGTGGGATGAGTCCAGCATGATAAGAGAAATTGAGAAATTTCTCAAGTCATTGCATTGGGAAGTAAATTCAACATTAACAAATAACCAAGAAGGAATAATCAGTGCTCAAAAAACAACATGGAGGCCAAGCACATATGCAGCAACTTCTTGATCCTGACAAGTTATTACAAGGATTCCAAATTGTAAATTGAGTTCTTACAATCTTGGAGTGTATCTTATTTGGAAATGCAAAACAATTATACACAGACAAAGGGTACGCAATTATTAATTATCAGTTTTCCTTTTATCATAGCATCCAACAGATTCTCCATAATTTCGAAGCAAAACTTAAAATCTCAAAGAAAAATTACTTAGAGATTCTCCATTTTGGAGATATCAATATCAATTATATCATTAAAATATTCGATACATTTAATACCCAATAAACTTTTAAATAAATTGTATATAAAATGATATACATTCTACTCTGTGCAATAAAGCTTGGGGATTCTCCAAATCTGGAGATTTTCAGCAGAATCTCACATTTTTAGTTAAAATCCTTAATTTTTACAAGTACTGTACATATATATACATGTACATATATCTAGAGAGAGAGAGAGAGAGAGAGAGACTAACAGGCAATAGGACTTGCAGAAGCGATCGAATTGGAACCGATGACGACCTAACCAAAAGCTTATGAAGAATTTGAAGCATAAGGATGACGTTGCAAAGATATTTCACTGAGATTCATGATCATCGCCATCGGCATGACTGTTTCCCTCTCCGTGTGTCTGAAAATGGTTAAACATATGAACCATGGTTTAAACTGTATAAGATTTTTGTTCCATGCCATCAAAGTTAGAGTAAATTTATAAACACGGTCCCTCAATATTATGGTATTACTATCACTCAATTACGTTTCTTATTCCAATTTTAGGTCACTAGCCATGTTTTTTAGAACCAATGTCAAGAAAACGAAGCATATTTTAGCTGACTATAAAAGGTGATGATTTCAAACCATAAGGATGATGCCTGATTGGTTTGAACTTGGCTCCAAATATCAAAAGTATCAAGAGGTCCTAGGTTCAAATTCAATGAGGAATAAAAATCCGTTTGTGGCCATGGAGATTCAAATGCGGTGACTCTGGGCTATCTGCAAAGCAAGTGGTTGTCCTGTGATTAGTCGGGTCGGCTCGCATAACAGGTTGGATATCCAGGTTAATAAAAAAAAGATGTTGATTTCAGCTTTCAGTATTATCTCTAAACGCCAGTTATCTATTATAAAACTCTAGTTGTTACAACTTGTTCGTCCATCTTGATTTTAGTTGTTTAGGTTTTAGTTGTTTACAAAATGTTGCAATGTAAGCTTAAGAATTTTGGAGATGCTAGATTATTGCCACAATAAGGGCCCACCTAATGAGGACTCAGCGGGGTCTCATGCCTTCACTCATCTAATTATGTGAGGATGTGTTTGATTTGCAGAATTGTTTTTGAAAGATTTAGATTTCATGATGAGGTTTGAATTGGAATGGATTTGAAATCATTGGTGTGTTTGGTTTGTAGAATTTAGAATGAAATTGAATTCCATTATTTATAAATAAATTATAAAAATAATTAAATTACATTTTTGTTAAGCGATTATTACAAAACAAATGTTTTTAACAATTTTTAAAACCTTATTGTAGAAATCTCGAGAACCCACCAAGGATTTCAAAATCCTATGTTTGTAGGATTTTAATTAAATTCTGAGATTTCAAATCTGGACAATCCAACAAACCAAAATGGGATTGTTCCATTCCTGCAACCAAAAAGAGAATTATTATGTGTCATGAAAGTGCATCCGCTTGATTTTAAGTGCCTTGGAATATTTTAAAATCAATTTTTGATATAAATCTAAGTTGTGTGGCTTAGGGGCTGTTTACCCAAATGCTTACCCGATAAGCGCTTACCAATAAGAGTCAACACTATAATTTATTTAGATGCATAAGATTTTAGTACATTAAAGCATATCGAATGCAACAATTTACTAGGTAAGCATTTACCTGGTTAAGAGTCGTTATCATCACTGACCGGGTAAGACTCTCCATCTTTCTCATCGCTCTTACCGGTAAGATTCTTGACCCTTCTCATGTTCATCCGATGAGGAAATTTATGCATTAAGCACTTACCAAGTAAATGTTTTGTAAATGACCCCTTAGTTTTGGTTGGCTAATCGAAAGCGCCTCCTTGGGTTCAATCTTCTCTTGTCGTAAATATGTACTTTTTTGATTAACAACTAGAGTCAATAACTTCTATTCTCACTCTTTATCTTATACAATTCTAAATCATCTTTCCTTGAAAATTACGAGTTTTTCCTCTTGATTTGATTGTATTTTGAATTTACTTTTAATTTGATTAATGTTAAAATCTTGGATGCGAAATAAAACGCAAAGTTTATGTTAATTTGCAAAATATCTTATTTTATATTTCCTAACCCTTTGGCTTTCCTCCAATATTTCCTATTAATTAGGCCTCAATTTCATTCGGTTCTTTGTTCTAATTAATACGTATGCATTCCCTACTGATTTAAGCCATCAATTTTTACCAAAAACAATCCAAAATGAGGGCTTTTATCCACAGATAAAAGATTGTGTGAGAATATGAGGTAAGACCGGACCTAGATCCTTGATCACTTTTAATCTCACCCAACCCTATGAATTGTGGTTGACAAGAGAATTGATCCGGTGCATCTAATTAGTGTTGATCTTCAACTAGGATTATCTCACCATTCTCACCGGACCCCAACTCTTTATCCACAACTCCAAGGATGGCAGTTGTGTCAGATCGATGATCTTGGCCCGTAGAGACACTATTCCTTCAACCAATCGACTCTTTTAATTCCCTTCGAGATGTATACATAAGTTGCTAATTCAACGATTAGCATCCAAAATCACATTTGATTACGACTTTGAACTCAAATGACGTAAACCAACACTGCTGTCCATCCCTTTTGTTCTTTCTACCTGTTTCTTTCACAAGTCGGTGGTCTTCAAAGGAAAACTCGCTCTACTCTTTGGGATAGAGGTCATGTCTCATCCCACCCTACTCTAGAATGGGATTTACCGGTCAATTTAGTTTGGTTTTTGGTTTTTGACTAAATCTTTCTTAAATCACCTTCTATGTAAATAAATCAATGAGTGTGAACGACTTCTCACCTTTTAAGTTGCAAGTATCTGAATTGTAGTCTCATTGATGCTGTTTCTGCTATATCTCTTTCATATCTGGCAACCGCGGAAACAGCAAGAGGTTTGACTTGGAGATGATGAACTTTGTGTTTTCTTCAATGCTATGCAGCAGCTGTAACATGGGCATAGCTTAGACCAAGACTACCCCCAAAACAACTTGAAAGAACATTGAAAAAGAGATTATGAATTGCTTCTTGTAGTGATAATTGGAAGCAAATGGTCGGATACATCTTCTTGATTCGTTATATCTGCATCAAGTGGATAATCTAAAAAAATTGTGCCCTAGAGATGCAAAAATACCCATATGTTTGTTAAAGCTTAAAGGACAAAGGAAACACTGACTACAAATTTGTAATACAATTTGCTACACAGGATCTCGAAAAGATCTCAGAAGTAAATGGAAATAGGGCATGTTGACAAATTTAAGGAGATTGTTCAAGTTTCTCACATCAGTCACATGGAAACATCACCATCAATGCCAAAGAATCAAATTAGAGATTAACTTTTACAAGCTCATGAGTTTTGAATTGTATCATTCATCCAGATTTCAATAATCATCTTCAATCAATTGGTGCCTGGACAGATTCAGCACCTATCGAAGTTCATAAAATTACAACAGATGTCCAATTCAATTGTTTAAATGAACATCAAACAAATCTATAAGTCACGAAAATGGAATAATTTCTGCATAATGTTTAAGAAACCTTCGATCCGATTGTAGCATCAGATTTTCCTTTGCAAAGTTTGTTATATTCTTCGAGCTCTTCATAATAGATGTCCCATACGCACCGAACACACCCGCTGCCACAGCAATCTCCCGGCAACGGTTTCTCCGGAGGCGGAGGGATTTCCGGCAACTTCTCCGTTTCCTTTGTATCCTTAACAGCACTCAAACCGTCACCTGAACGTATTTCATTTTTAGCACCGGAACCATCCATGATGCTGTTGGAATTAAAATCAAAACTGAGATCGAGATAAATTGTGCTTTTGAGAGAAAGTTGAATTCGATTGCGATGAGATAGGTTAAGAGCGGTAGTGATTCGTTGAAGATTGTGAAATCTCATGGCCAATCGACAGGCGACGCCACCATGATGTTGGAGATTCGGAAAACGGTGGTGATTTCCAGGCGGCGACGATATGTACAACGATCGTTGAAATGGAGGATATCGAGTGGAAAACGCATCCATATACTCTGTACGCTTTTTAACCAATCAGAGTCAAAGGCGTCCGTCTAATGGAAGAATAATCGACAAAGTTACAACTTTAGTCCCTCTACATATTGTATTTAACATAAAATCCCATATTTGAATGGATTTTTTGAAATTTTGGTCATCTTGCCAAGGAAGAAAATATTACCCCCTCTCATCCAAAAAAATATATATAAGAATATTTGTATTTTGAGAAAACCCAAAATTGTAGATGATTTTAGTTCAAATTTTTATATTTGTTCATTACATAATATTATAATATATTTATGATATTTATTTTCATCTACGGGTGGAGGTTCAAACGAAAATATCTTTGTTTTATAAAAATACAAAAACACTTTTATCATATGTGATAATACACGTAAAGAAATCTGGTGGTACAAACGACTTGTCCCGCGACCTAGGTCGCTATCAAATATTATTGATTATAATATCACATCAATAACACATTTATCATATGTAATAATAATATATTTGAGAGTGCCTAGAGATGTGTGGGCAAACTTCGCCTGCAAACTGGGTCGACTAGTAGATCGTTTGTGTCTCTAATTTGTTATCATATTTGATGTAATATAGTATCACTTGTGATTGACTATAACAAAAGATTTTTCCATATTTTCATAAAATGAATATGTTTTTGTTTTAACAGTTCCTTTCATTTACAAGTTTCCAATATTATCCTAAAAGTTAAAACACTGCAAACATTAAAATATCTATGAAATATTTTCATTAAATTATATATTAGATCAAATATTGCATTTTATGAAGGAAAAAAATTGAGCGGAATAAGTACATACAAATATTGTATCATGTTATTGACGTTGTACAACAAATTTGCATTTATGTATTTGAACTCATTGGGGTTGTTTGTTTACCTCTTAATAGTTCCATTAAGGGATGGTTTATGAATCGTTAAGAGGTGAATCTTGTTGGTACGAAAGGAGGTCTGCCTCTTAATGGTTCTGAAAAACCTCTGAATGATTTTGTATCTTGGGTCTCTCTTAACCATTCAGAACCCTAATTTCGTTGTAAATAATTACCAAACAATTATATTTCATTTTGCACTATATCATGAGAGCTCTTAATCATTTTGTACCGAACCATTCAATAACTGTCAAACAGCTATGTATCTAAGCTGAATGAAAATCGCATATTTCAAATTGTTGCATTTTATTTATGTCCATCAACTATATGAATACAAATTATTAAAGAGAGAATGTGATTGTGAATAAAATGAAATTAAAATATATAAAACTCTAATGTGTCTTAATTTCATTTAAGGGACAACAGATTTTTATCCATCTAAGCCCATCACATTTGTATGTATTTGAGCTCGTGACTCACATAGGCGGACCTAGTTAAGTGTCATGGGTGGCACGTGCTACCGTATCGTTTCTTCGCTGAAAGGTAAAAAAATTTAGGTTTCATGAACGGTGCAACCGTATTAATTTATTGTGTCCCACCGTTTGTATTTTGAAACTATGATGAGAACAAGTTTTATTTGGTAGAGTTTGTTTGCAAGACTTTTATTCCATCCCACATCCAAGTCTGAATCATGTTAGTGTCATTTTCTTAGTCAAACGATGCCACCGTTTGAAAAAAATTCTGTATATTTGTTTCTTATAGTCAAACGGTGTCACCTTTTGAAAAAAATTCCTATATTTTTTTTCTTATTCTCAAATGGTGCCACCATTTAGAAAAAATAAAAGGTCCGTCCCTAGTGACTCATATTGTATCATGCCCTTGACATAATACAACAAATTCCGCATTTTGTATTAACAAAAAGACGAGACTTCAAAATGATAGCTTAACTGATAAGACTTTGGATTTACCCTCCGAGTCATTAACTCATAACGACCATGAAATCGAAGGTAATTTAATTATAAATTGTTGAACAACATATAATAATAAGCATTTCATAAGTGTCAAGTTACATATATAGATTATATATTTATTTTACATTATTGTATCGATTGGTCATAACAAAAAAAGTTGCATTGTTTATTTATTTTGATCTCAAGCATTCGATGATCTCTTCAACCCCAACAGATGTAGCACCAATCCCACATAATTAAAGTTGTATGCTAACCTTAAGAAGTCCAACTTGAAGTTATTCCATGGCGGATGCCTGGGTTCCAGCTCAAAGTAGAAGCTTCTCTCCAAAACTGCTTTTTCATGGCTGAATGTATCGAAAGAGTACTTCCCATGGTACCTACCGAACCCACTCTGTCCAACCCCTCCAAATGGTAACTCATCACACACAAACTGCAAACATGTAGTTAGTTAGGTGCCGTTTACCAAACGCTTACCCAGATAAGTACTTGCCAAGTCACTTTACTTTACCGGATGAATATGGCAAGGACTAAGAATCTTACCCGATAAGAGCGAAGGCAAGAATCTCGAGTCTTACCCAGTAAGTGAAGACGATGACTCTTACTATGGTTAGCGCTTACCAGGATAAATTGTTGCATATGATGCGTTTTAGTGAATAAAATCTTGCCCGGTAAGTAAGCGATAGTGTTGAATTTTACCGGATAGTGCTTACCGGGTAAGTGTTTAGGTAAACGGCCCCTTAGTTAGAACCCATAATGAACTTCTGACTGAATTTAACATATTGCGGTTAATTTGAGTGAAAATGATGGTCCGAGGTTGAAATGGGAAGATTTGAGAATTTGAACATTAGTGTTATGGAGCTCAACTCGTTAGGTTAAACGAGTTTTACCGTGTGTTCGAGCTCGAGTGGGTCGTTAAAAGCTCGAGTCGTTAACACCCCTATTTCTAACTAGAGATATTAAATATTGCTAGTACCTGAATCATGGTGTCATTGAAAGCCACACTCCCAGATGATGTTTCTGCTAAAATCCGTTTCTTGAAACTTTCATTTTTGGTGAATGCATAAAGAGCAAGAGGCTTTGGCTTCGAGTTGATGAATTCGATGCTTTCTTCGATGTTTTCCAACTGTTGTAACAATCAGCCTTGAGCAAACCGTTGCAAGAATGTGAAAAACAAGATTACGGATTCTTTCTTACAGTGATGATCGGAAGCAAAGGGCCGAATATCTCTTCATTCATAATCTCTGCATCTAGTGGAGGATCTAACAGGATAGTTGGCTCAATAATCCTGTAATGATGTGATCAATTGGCACAAAAAAATGTGTTATTAGATCGATGGCAAAATTACCGTACGTTAATCGGAACTTAAAAAGGACAAAAAAGGGAAGACCATTACAAATTTGTATCATCGAACGAACCACCATAAACGATACAATTTGCTACAGCAGGGTCTTCAAGAAGATTTCGCAGTCTATCAAAATGGGTCTTGTTGACGATCTTAGCGAGATTTTTCAGGTTTGTGACATCATCCCCATAAAAAAATTTAATAGTCTTCTTCAATTGTTCGATCTAGAACGAGAAAAATAAAATGACTAAAGAACAATTTGATAAAAATTGCTGATAAAGTGGACAAAAGACCCTTGTATTTCTACAAAAACAGTAGTAGCAGTAAGAGAAAGATCATAAATACCAGAGAGGAGGCAAACTTTTGTTCCACAAGCAAATAATCAATTCCTATGCAAGCCTGTCCAGAGCAAGGGCCCCATTTTCCACCAACAAGCCTTTTAGTAGCCACCTTTGAAACACCATCGATAACTTTGGTATGTTAGATGTTGTTTGAATATATGGAACCCCATTAGATTACTCTCCAGGAGAGTCATGAGGACTTAATGGAGCAAAATTGTGCTCTTTTAAGTTAACAAAAGTGGCCGCAGTCTACTAGTAGGGTCATTGCATGTGGTATATCTGATACCATATGAGAATATGTGGAATCCCATTAGATTACTCTCCAAAAGAGACCTTGAGGAGAGAGTGGAGGTTCCAACATATATAAAGGAGAAATGGTCCAATTTTAGCCGATGTTGGACTCCAACAGATGCTATTAAAAAAACCATCATAATCAGGAAACATGGCATAGCAAATGTGATTCAGACCCTCAACCCCCACCCCCTTGAGACCAACCCAAAAATGATCATTATCATCTACAATGCGATTGACGGACAATGTATTTTCTACATGGGCTGGCACACACAGAGAAAAGGAAAACTGAAAACCTTCATGTCGGAGTTAGGGAGAGAATCAAGGATTGCAGGACATTTTCCTCCGAGCTCTAAAGTCACAGGAGTTAAGTGCTTCGCAGCTGCAGACATGACAATTTTTCCCACCTTTGTACTCCCTGAATATTGCACAAATTAATTAAGCAAAAAACAGTTTCTGAGTTATAGGAAGGCAAAATAGATAAAGTGCTCACTGAACTTTCATGGTTTTTCCCATTGCAAGCGTCTACAGAAGATCTATGGATAAGATACTTACTCTCTCACAAAGTCACAACCATATCGGTTACACTATGTTCGTCCAATTGTCATCAAAATTAACAAATTCAGATAATCAATAAATGGGAACGACCATCAACTATTGAGCATTTAAAACTTTTGAGATCAAAAGTCAATTGGACTTGAAGGATGCTGATATGGTTGTCCCAGTTAAGTATGTGATGGATAAATCTCTCACTTGTAAAAATGCTTCCATTGAGGTATTAAGATATTATAGTAAACAAATTCAAGCAGAAATCTTTCCCCAGTAACGATACATAGTTGTTTTCTAACAAATTTGATGCACCCATAGTTATCACAAGCCATGGAAGCATCCCGATTAAGAACTTGTCTGATATGCATTGGTATATCTACCTGTAAAGAATATTTTGTCCCACTTATACTCTAGTAGTTGGTTAGCTACTTCCCTTCCACCTTCTATAACTTTAATGGCTTTCGGATCCAAGTAAACTGGCAATTTGTTGGCAAGAAAAGAGGCGCATTTTGGGGCTAACTCTGATGGCTTTAGTACAACTGTGTTGCCAGCAGATATTGCTCCTATCAACGGGTCCAATGTCAATGCTGCAAAAAGAAAATGTTTGTGATTCATTAGGCTTATGAAATTTCTGGGAAGACTTCTGATCGCCATGGCACAGTTACAGGAAGCCAATGAAAGGACTCTAAAGCTTGCTTACTAATGGGGAAGTTCCAAGACCCAATGATGAGGACCAGGCCAAGTGGTTCAGGCAACACTTTTCCACTTGCTGGGAAGAAAAGTAGAGGTAGCCGACCCTGCCCAGAAATGTGTTTACCCTTTGATCATTAGTAACATAATTAAACCACAGGCATTGGTGAAAATCAGATTGCAACATGTAAACATAACTGAGTTATGTTGTGATTTGTTCCAAAACTAAATCATGGTAAATACATGAAAACTATTGGTCTGACTATTTCAAAACTTAGGTGCACCCTTTTTGATAGATTAAATGTTCTGTGTGTTTAATTTAGCCCTTTTAGTACCTATATGTAACTACAAGTGGTAAACCTCATTATTGCCACGTTTTGTCATTTTCCTGTGAAGTATAATGGGTGATTGCACATAGCAGCGGAACTATAATGGCCTAGGCAGGTGCAGTGAACCCACAGCGTTACTAAAAATCTGTGTACAGGGAGGTATCTTTGTAAAAACGAAGTACTATATGGTAATCTTTTAATAAGATCTGAAACCACAGGTGGTCTTTGACCCTATTGATACCAAGCTTCTTGAACCAGTGGTTGTGGTTCGGGACTCACCAGGAACAGGTTGTGTGTATTTTGACCGTTTTACAAATAATAATGAGCTGTAAAACCGAACTCACACCCAAAACCTTGAGCATGTTCTTGGTTCCAGGTGGTAAAACTTCTAATGCAGTTGCTCCTTGCAAGTGGGGATGTGGTAAAGACAAGAAAAGCATGTACATTTTCTCTTCTAAGATAGGAGTAATCTTCTGAATATTGTTTCTATAACGTCTAAATCCTTTGTCAACTTTGGTTTTCTTGAACTTTTTCTATTTTGTAAGAAGTGTATCATATCAAAGTTACTTTATCTCAGAACCAAACCAACTGAAAGTAGGACCGAATAAGATTTATAGCACAAAAGAAAGCAAATTGTTAATATGCTAGCTTTAGTTTAATCAATGAATGATATGCAATGATAATATACACATCATAGAAGCAAATCATTAACATGCTAGCTTTCTTAATCAATGAACGACATACAGTACTAATACACACACCATAAAACTAAGCCACATGAGTTATGCTGGCAGCAAATAAATAGAAATACCTACACCCTTTTTCCCATAACTCCATTTTGTGGAATACTTCTATTAATAAAAAAGGGGGCCATTTAGTGTAAAATAAATATAGTTACAAGGCTATTGCTCAAAGTTACATGGATCACTAATCCTTACAATTCTAGAAAATAAATTATAACCCGTGGAACCAAGGAAGTTATCTAGTGCGATCAACTTAAATAAAAAGCTAACACTCCATTGAAAATTCAAGCAAATTATAGGGTAATTCATGTGCTTATGCAGTACATCATTAAATTGAACTTATAAGTATTGATCTTCTATAACTGAGAAAACAAGAAGGATCYTGCAAACCTTCTTTGGGGACATCCATTGGTCAATGCAGCTCAAAGCATGGTCAACTGATTTCTTCACTACCCCAATCTGTAAAGAGTATTAAATAAATCAATTCAGGCAAAAGCATACGGCTGACTCTATCATCAACCCTTAATTAAAAACTTACTTGCAATATCCCAAATCAGAGTCCATTTTTGACCTTAACTGTTAACTTGAATCACTTTATTACTTCAATATTCATGGAAAAAAAGTACCTTAATTACATTAAAATTTGCAAATCAATTTATATTAAAGAAGAAATTTCTTCGAGATCAATTGAATATTGGATCTCAAAATCAAGAGTGACTCCAGTGGCAGTGTCCTTATAATCAACATGAATACTCCATATATATCATAACAGATCCGCCATAGTCTGTCCTTTTCCTCATACGACTTAAATTTTTCAAAAATTTAACAAAGTATGTGTGCATAACAGAGAGGTGAGAGTTGAATTACGACATACTTCATCACGATAAGATTCAACAGGATGTTTGCCGAGTTCGGATTCAAGTGATTGAAAGAGGACATCTTCGTTTTCATGAAGGAGTCTAAGAATTGCTCGAAGCTGTTGTTTTCTCCAATCAATGCTTCTAGTTCTGCCGCTCTTAAACGTCTGCCGTAGCTCCTCCAGGCTCCGTGTCACGCCGTGATCCTCTTCCGCCATTACTTTTCCTCTATCTTCTTCCTGCAACAGCTACCTGTATTACTGTGCATGTCTTAATGACAGCAATGACTTTAAATATTGAAATCTAAGCCCCAAATTTCCAAAATTGGGTTTTTGGGCAATTTTTTTGTCTTAATCAGATTCTATAAAATATGTCGGAAGAAATTGTGAATTTATCTAAATTTTAATTATCTATTTAAAAATTATCATGACAGAGAGTAGGCAAGGAAATTGGCTCCGACTCGTCCATCTGTCCCGGTCAGGGACGAGGATTCTCCGTGAAACTGGGTCTCGGGGACGGGGACGGGTATCACATTATCCACCTCGTCCCGTACCCGTATATATATTAATTAAGAAAGTGTATTATATATTATTTATTTCTATTAAATTGGTAAATGATAATTGCTATTTCAATATATTTTGGATATTACTACATGTGGTTTTGGATATTACTCAATATGTTTTGGTAAATGTGACGTTAATTTTTTTAGATTATTTTTTTTTTGTTTTCCAATGTTAATTATTATATAATGATGTATAGTTTTTGTATTAAATTAAATTCTTTTTGATTTTAGATTTATTGGAAAAATGTGATATTTAAACATGTGTATCGTCTAACACATTTGATTTTAAAAAAAAAATACACAAACATGAAAAAAAATCTATGTTTCCCTGTTGGGGATGAGGATGCGATCAAATTCCCCGGTGGGGATGGGGATGGGGATGGGGACGGAGACGAGAATTGGGGTCTCCGTCCCGTTACCATCCCTAACAGAGAGAAATGATTTTTATTATATTTTATACATTAATAATTTCAAAAAATGTTTATAAGAAAAATATAATATTTAAATTAAAAATATGAAATATTATAATAATATGATGTAATCAATAAAAATAGAAAATCTGTTGGAGTTGAATGCAAATTTTTTTAAAGATTCTTTTTAAAGATTCTAAAGTTTGATTTTCTATTTTATAAATTTTTTGAGAATTCGCTCGAGATACTCTAAACAACATTTTTTTAAAGAATTTTAACAATGTGTTTCAGTTTAGTAGACGTTAATTATATTATTAAAATATTTTATAATTTTATATGTTTTCTAAAAAATATGATAATAATTTAATTTTATTGGTGGAAATGAATAAAATATTATATCTTTTTATCAAGTTCTATTTAAAAAAAAGTATGTAAATAAGATAACAAAATCTTTATTTTTTATTTTAAAAGAGATCCTGTTAAAGATATTACTATAATTTCATTAAAAATATAGAATCAAATTTTAAAATTTTTAAAAGAGTTATATTTAACTTAAACTAATTCTTTGTTTTTATAGATTTAATACCATTAAAATATTTTATGTATTTGGTTGGCATTTGTTTTTTTAAGCGGTGCTGGAGTCTGAAGTCTTATTTTACTTCTGATTTATAAGAGGTGGTGCTAWMGTCTGAAATCTGAATCAATAAGACTATTTGTTTTTGTAAACTGATAAACGTCTGATTTTATTAAAATTGTCTATTTTATCCATTAAAAAATTATATTGTTGAATTTATAAATAAAATTTATACAATTTCAAATATTTATCCATCATCATTACGAAATTTACATCTACATTATATAATTAACATTCATTTAAACGAAAATATGTCATTAATGTATTTAACACATTTAAATCCTACTAAAATACATCAATTGAGAGACGCGATGATTGATTTGGTGAGGACTGATTGAGAGAAATGATTGATTAAGGTTGATCGATTGAGAAACGTAGTGTTAAGGGTTTGAAAAACAATAAGAGGCAAATAAGAGGTTGTTTACCTCTTACCAGATAAGAGGACAATAAGACATAAGTACCTTTGAAAAATTAAAAAAAAAAAAAAACAGTCTAAATGGTCTTACCTCTTAAGAAATGAGACATAAGAGGCTAATAAGACCTTTTTTATATTAAAAACAAACAAGGCCTTAATACTCTAACAAACTTTAAAGAGAGATAATCATTTAAAATACATTCTCGTGACATTAAATTCTAAAGAGTTCTTTAAATTTGAAGAATTTTAGCATCTCTTTCTCTATTTTAGAGGATCTTCTTGAGCAAAAATATCTGTAAAATCTATTTTTTATTTATTTTATAAAATCTGTTGGAAGAGCATCTTCAATAGATTCTTCAAAATGAAGAAAATAAAGATTTTGGACAAGTTTTGCTGCAACGGATTATCCAAATTTGATCTTGTGGGATTTTCTGTAATATCCCGTTTTTACTATTACAATAATGATAAGGTTGAGTATATGCAAATATTTTAAATTTTTAAGGTAAATGTTAAGCATTTTGATACTGTAACAATGTTGATATCTCATAAATAATAAAATATATTTATTCGGTATGAAGATATTTACATCGAATTCAAAATGGAACAGTAGTATCAAATTTCTTAATAGCATTAAATGCATTTTCTAGCATTTGACTATGGACCATTGAATGTGTTTAGTCACACACGTGAACGATAACCAAAAAAGTCAAAGGAGTGATTGGATAATTGGTTTATATAAATCATGTTTGGTTCATGTTACATCAAATAATTATTGAAAAGAAGACGATTTAAAGGATCAAAAAGTATCTTTGTTAAAACAGATTATAAACCAGATTTATCAAAAGTCTTAAAACAATTTTTGATGCGCAAAATATTTTACATTTATGCACAAAGTCTTAAAAACAACTCATAATGCATTAAGTACTACTACTACTACAACTTTATGCATTCAGTCTTAAAATCTCTTAATTTACGATTAAAATAACATATAGTACAAGTTACCAATTCACATTATTACCTTTTCTTTTCATGTTTCCAATATATTTTTGACATCTTTCACTCATGCCTTCACCCTCTCATATTTCTATGTGTTCTCCCCATCCCCCAAGGTGATATTCGAACTGATATTTACTATGAGTTATTAAAAGCTCTCTCATTCATCTTCCATTCAATTGCTTTAGAACTCTCGGTCTTGCTCTCGATCTCTTGATTCTTTGCTCTTGGTGTAAATTGAATACATTTATGGAGTCGTTTAAATATGTTGGATTTTAAACTGTCATACATTTTTTTTTCATCAATAGACTGTAATTGGAACCATAACTCTTATTTATTCAAATTGTATTAATATGTAAAGACCAAGTGTAACTTATATCATCGCTAAATCTTCTCTAATGAAACTAGTGAAACTTCAAAATCGTTAAAATTCACGGCTCCCACCACATTGCACAGGTACACAACTAGTCTTTATTAAAACATAAAAAGAAATGTCTTATTAATATTAATGAAAATAAAATTGTACAATATAATTTAAAATATATGAATTTATTAATTAATTATTATAACATATGTATATAAACGATAATATATATATATATATATATATATATATATATAAAATACTTTAACATTATTTCTATTTAAAAGGTTTTGTTGTTTTACTCAGATTAGCTAGTGGTATAGATTTTATGAAATGCTCTGAATATATTTTAAAGTTTTAATTTGACATAAATAGTCCTTTCAAGAAACAAGTAATGAGTCTTTCTTAAAAATATTCTCCACAACCCTTTCAAAATCCTGATGTTCTTCCCTTCATTTTCAGGCTATCTGCTACCCAAGACCTGTTGGTGTATTCGTATATGGATATTTCATTCAAATAACCATTTTATAGCTATTAATTAGTAACATACTGTAAATTGTGTATAAATAAAACATGAGTTGGGTTTCGGTGAGAATGAAAGTTAAAGTGAGAAGCGTAAGAAGAAATCTCTACACTTAAATGTATATTAAGATGAAATACACCGGATCAATACACGTATAAAACACGATTAATGAGCAGAGATCCTTTCTATAAAGTGTTAATGGTCCATGTGGTTGATGATATATTTGTGAACAAAGAATGAGCCATTGCCCCTCTGTGTTTCATTCTGCAAAAGTTCCAACACACTCGATTTTGGGGTTAATTATTGTAAGGTCAGTCCAAATGAATGGGACTGTGACGAAAATAACCTTTAAAAATAAAGAAATTACATTTTTAGCCCTAAAATTAAAAAAAAATTAACAAGATGGTTATGGGTTACCTGTTAGCACGGTTAAATGCCTACAAGGACCTATATGCAAATAAAAAGTCAAAATTTTATTTAAATACTAATTTTTTTTAAATTTTAATTTTTTTCTTAAAAAAAATTAAGATCCGATTTCCTTTTAAATTTTATTTTTTTAGAAATTTATTTCGACGATACCAGGAGTAGCCTTAATATCGACGATACCTGTAGTATAATGGAGATTGTATTAGGAATGACGATTGTATTAAGTTAATATCGACGATATCGGTAATGGAGATTGTATTATGATAATGGAGATTGAAGTGTTGGTAATATGAAATTTGAATTGTTTATATAGTTGAGTTGAAAAAGAAAAAGAAAAAGAAAAAGAAAAAATTAAATAATATTATATTGAAAAGGAGAAAATTGGATAATATTGCATTTGAAAGGAGGAAATTGAATATTAAATTTTTTATTTAAAAATAAATAAATTTCTAAAAAATAAATAAAAATAAATTTAATCTTACGAAAAAGAAAATTTCTGAAAAGAAATCGAATTTGAAAAAAATAATTTAATTTAAAAAAAAATATGTTTTAAAAGCATGGGGCTCTTACGCATCACATGGTGTGGTATGTAAGAATGGGACCCACCGAAAATTTTAATTTTTTTTTAATAAATCACAAGTTTTGGTAATTGCATGTTAGTCCCACTATTAATGATGTTAAAAGAGTAATGGATGGTCATTTGGTTAAAAAAATTTAATTTTATGGTTAAAATTTTAAATTATCAATTTTGAAGGGCTAGTTTCGAAACCCCCAAATGAATCCCATATTATATGTTAAATAAACCTTTTTGTAGACTTCTCTATCACACGTGTCAAGATCAAATCATCCTTTTGTTTACACATTTTCGATGTAACGATTTAACCAAAAACTGTTCCTTTTATCACTTCCTTTTCGTTGTATTTTTCATTGTTGGCAATTTTTCCCGTG